TAATAATTTAGTCTTTAATGACCAAATATTTTTAATAATAATTTTATTTTTGTTATTTGTTTGTTATTTTCACCAATATTTTGACTATAATCTATAGTCATCATCAGGGTACTATCATCCGAGAATTAAAATGTTGTAATACCCTGATGATGACTATAGATTATAGTCGAAATATCGGTGAAAATAAAATCTTTTAAAAACAATTAAAATTTTTGTAAAAAGTTTATTATTTAACTATTGATCAATTAGCCCGTAAAAAAAACAAAATTATTATTATTAATAATAATATAATTAATTATTATTTAGTTAACCGTGGCTACTGAAGTACTTATATGTACCTGTTTGTAAGCTGTTGCTTTATATAAGCTTGAATAGAATACGGACCTGTGAAGTCTATAAAGTAAAATTTGAATTGTTTAGTGATGTATGGTCTAAGTGTTAGTTATTCTAAAATATTTAAATCTAAAAATTGAATTACTACACTAATCGTCTTGTTGGATACTTTTCAATGCGTTCAGATATTAATTTAAGCTCTTAGGTTCTCTGCCATGCATCAAACTAAGAAACCCTATTTAAAATTTAACTTCAGTAATTTTTATATTTTTGACTTGTTCTATATTTACGATAAAAACAGTTATTTGTTTATATATTAATATACATACATATATATATATATATATATATATATTCTTTTTTTTTCTGTTTTTGTTTTTTGCTAATTGATTTCATTGACTTCAGTTTTAGTGTAGACAGCATTTTTGTCAAGTCGATGAAGGTTGCGTGGTAGTACTTCTAAAGTTTCTGTTGTAGTTGCTACTTTTCAATGTTGCAAATTCTAAATAAATATTTTAAATTTTTTAATCCAGCATTTATAATTTTACTGACATTCTCATGTCATATGTGAAATTTTCTGAAAGTATGTACGAGTACAATAATTTTTTGCCGCACTCGATAATGTGTTGACTAAACGATTTATTTTAAATTTTAATCTGCTCTGTGGCCCAGCTCGGTTTCAAAATCAAAATGATGATATATTCGAAACGTGCTTAAAGTTAGTTTTACTTAAGATTAGTTCATTTCTTCGCGATATTTGCAAATCGACAATAGAACCGTGGAATAAAAAGTGCGCCTCAGTTTGTGGAAAAAGTACTCGATGTAAAGTACAATATATTTTTATAACGGAAACGTCACATCCAAGACATTTGTTTCGAACCCCTCGGAATTTTTTTAAAAGTATATAAATAGCATTTTGAAATAAATTTTTTAGTTATGATATATTATATTAAAAGAATTTAAAAAGAAGTGTATATGTGGTGTGAACTACGAACTTATAACTTAATGATAGTTTTAATGATATTGAGTTCAGTGGATTAATTTCTATACTAAAAAAAGAAATAATATATAATAGATCAGATATAATAGATTAAAACGTTTAACACAAGTGATAATATATTTTGTTTACATCCATTATATATATAATGTATTATATACATATTATAAAGTTTTAATTATTTCTAATAAAATCTGTAGTTTATATATTCATTCATTAGATGGTTTATGATACATTTCTAGTAAAAAGAAGTTATCTGAAATTTATTGTGTGCCTAAAACATATCTCAACAAATTTTGTATCACGCGAAACTTGATGCAATCTGTTACCGTCAGTGCGTTTATATCAACTGATTTTGTGATTTTACTTTAGAGTGTTCTGCGATAGCGCAAACACGTCGCTGTGTAATTGTTTTCACCACGAAACTCAATGAAAATATTAATTAGAGTATAGAGAAAGAGTATAGACTCTCTTCATATGGCCCCGTGTAACTTTGTTCTGTCCTCGAAACTCAAATGACCACTTCTACAAACGCGTTTCGAGTTGATTGTGGCCTTGAAAGAAAATTCGCAAAAAGAGTTGAAAAATATACCTCCATCAGTTTACGAAAAATGTATGGAGGGTTGGATCAAATGCTGGCATTTGACTTTGTTGACTAGACTCTGTAGAGCCTAGTTTGAAGGTGACAAAATAAATTATGCCTAGCACTTGCAAATCTAATATTTCCGAACACTATTGATAATGAGTACTTAGCAATACTTGAAACATCATTGTTAGGTCAGCCAAATTTTAATAAATTAACTGCATTTTTGTTGTTGTTTTTTCATTTCTATTCGAACCCTTCTTACTGTTAAAAAATTTCGATTGGTTGTAATAGTTTATTTGTATTTTATTTAATAGTTTTAAAAATATTTTTCCAAAAAAGATAAATATCCAAATTTAGAATCATATCAATATGGGATTTTTAAAATACTACAGCAATTTAAAAAAATTAACTTATATTGAATTATTATAAAATAATATGTATTTTCATTTAAAAATGTTTAGTACTTAGTGATTTAGTGGATTTTATCCACTCTCTAAATTTAGTTTTAAATTTAATCAGTCAGAAAACTTCGAAACACTTCTTACAAACCTTGTTTAAGCAGAAAGAATATCGATAAAGGATTTATTGAACTATAAGTATTTGTTAAGATCTGTTTAAGTGGTTATCTTTGTTGCTGTTTTATTATATTTTGTTTAATTTCGTATATAATATAATAATATATATAATATTATAATATTTTATATTCAATAGTAAAATATTAAAATTTAATACCTTTTTTTTTATTCTATTCTATTATATTCTATTTTATTTTATTTTATTTTCTTTTATTATATTTTATTCTATTTTATTTTATTTTTTTTATTTTTTTCTATTCTTTTCTTTTATATTCTATTCTATTCTATTCTATTCTATTCTATTCTATTTTATTCTATTCTATTCTATTCTATTCTAATTTATTTTATTCTATTCTATTTTATTTTATTTTATTCTATTCTATTCTATTCTATTCTATTCTATTCTATTCTATTCTATTCTATTCTATTCTATTCTATTTTATTCTATTCTCTTCTATTCTAATTTATTTTATTCTATTCTATTTTATTCTATTCTATACTATTCTATTCTATTCTATTCTATTCTATTCTATTCTATTCTATTCTATTCTATTCTATTCTATTCTATTCTATTCTAATTTATTTTATTCTTTGCTTTTCTATTCTATTCGGTTCTATTCTATTTTTCTATTTTATTTAATTTGGTTCGATTCGATTCTGTTTCATTCTACGATTCCATTCTTTATTTTATATTATTGTATTCAATTCTATTGTACAATTCTACTTCTTTTATTCTAAAATGAAAGCCTGATCTTTACTTAAAATGATCACTTGTTATATTATAATTTTAGCGATATTGTTTTGACACCATTGATGATGTCATATGATCTTTCTTTTGAAATACTTTATATTTTTAAAGAAACACTATTTACGGAAATGAAAATATTACCAAAAAAAACCCAAAAAATTTTTTTAAATTATTGACTAAGACTAATCTATCTAAAGGTCAATAGAAACTTTCTTAAACACAATATGTGTACTATAAACTTTTACCAGTGTGTTGGTAAAATATTTACATTCTACTACATTCATTTGATGTTAATTGTAGTCTAACCCTAAAATTTTATAAATCGATTTTGTCCCCGTTTTATTATATAAGGTATATTTTATTTTTCATAAAGTTTGCCTTATAAAAGAAATCATCAGTATAAGTAATATAATCCATATAGGTCCTATGTTTATTTAACAATTGATTCTCACTCTAAATCTTATAACGCCTATAGATCTTCCCATTGATTTCATTAGTATTTTTTATTATGTATTTTAGGCTACTTTTTGTTTTAATTATCTCTCAATATAACGTTGTTTGACATCACCCATAATCATGTCATTTAGCTGATCATTGTACCATTTATCATTTAGTAAAATCATTTTTACGACTAGACCTGCAAGATCACCTATAGTAAGCCTATGTTTATCAAATTTTCGATTTCACAATCATACTAAACAACCAATCTTATTAATATTATATATGTCATCAATTCTTAAAAACAGGCTATTATGCTAATCATATAGGAACCTTAATTGTATGTTTTCATAGGTATCTCAAGTTTAACATTAATTGTCACCTTTTGTCACTGTGTCCAGTAAAAAAAACACAAACGTACGCTCTATATAAATATGGTTTGAGTTAGGCGAATCATCATCAATTTCTGTGGGAGATGCAGGAGCATAGGGCCTCAAGAGGTTTCTGATATATTTGAATTTTTTCTAAGCTAAGATGAATTTTGCACCTCCCAATACGGTGTATAGGCAGGAGGATAGATTTCCGTGCAATAAGTATAAACACAAATCGGGAGCTTAGTAGGACTTACCATAGATTTCCGTTGCTTCTAACATAAAGAACAGACGTGGTTTGGAGCCGCTTCACTGGAGTACAGACACGCCGTGCTGCATATTTTGACCGCCCTTAACATGGAGAACAGACGTCGTATTTAAGCCATATGCAAGCATGGCCCCCACCATCTTCATCTGTTACGCCCTGCGGATGCGGCTAACAGGAAATGGTTGTGAAGTTCTTAGTTCACCAATAACTATTATTCTAAAAAAAAAGATAATATTAATCAGGACAAATGTTTATTTTGTTGACAATATTTTTATTATGCATATATTTTATTATCTTTTCATTTATAACAGATCTTAACTATTAATATCTCGGTAGTGATACTACCTTTGGGAATAAATTGTTCTGCTTTTAAGGGTGGCATCGACTTCCACGTTGAAGAATGTATATTCTCAGTGACCTTTAGATAAAATTCTAAGTACAATGCTGGTTTTTTACATGAGTAAATTTCATTTCACCGAATTATTTATCTCAATTGCTATGTATTATTAAATTCACACATCCGATTTGCAGTACGAGACATTAGCAATTTATGTAAAGACAATTTAAGATTTAAGATAAATATATGTCACTATTTTTATATATACTATTTTATAGATATTTTTATATATTATTCCCCAGTTTATGAAAACTTTATAAATCATATCCTCTTCTTGTACATTTCAGATTCTGTAAACTCAAATAAAGTTTTAAACTCCTCAGATGTAACCAAAGATATTTAAAAGATTTCCAACTACTTCACAAACCAAAGAATTTAGCTTTAGTCAGATACTATAAGATATAGCAACTGTAGACTAAAAACCATTTCAAATGACTGCAAACGGGTTGCTAGGCCGCACAAATCACACAGATCGTAAGTACATATGAAGTATATCCCTACGTGTATAGTTTAGTATATCCTATCGCTTACAGCTTCACGTTCAAATCGACGTTCACTCATTTCATTGATTGTCGGTTTGGTGGTTGGATTCTGTCTAGCTGAAATGTTTATATTATCAACACCACAGCAACCTGAATGGATGCTATATACAGGCCATCAACATGGGCACTTAAGCGATGCACACGAGAGTCATGATTTACTGGAAGCTGCCGGACCAGAGACAGATATTGGCACACATCAGCATTCATATGAGAATACAACAATTGCACAGAAATTGTACAATGAAGTTCGCGTATTGTGTTGGATAATGACAAACCCAAATAATCACAAGTCTAAGGCACGACATGTGAAACGCACATGGGGTAAACGTTGCAATAAAATAATATTTATGAGTACATCCGAGGATACGGAATTGGGCTCTGTAGCACTGCCTGTTGGTGAGGGTCGTAATAATTTATGGGCCAAAACGAAAGAAGCTTTTAAATATTTATATAATAACCATATTAATGATGCGGACTGGTTTCTGAAAGCTGACGATGACACGTAAGTTTTTAAAATTGAATACTTAACATATTTTTAACATAATTTTTTATATATAGTTACACTGTGGTAGAAAACTTACGTTATCTTCTATATCCATACTCACCAGAGACACCAATATACTTCGGCTGCAAATTTAAACCATTTGTCAAACAGGTTAGTGTATATTTTTTGAACTGTAACTATTATGCATTAGACCTTGTTTTATAAGACTTATCCAGAATCAGTATTTTAACGCTTATTAGGTGGTATGATTTTAAAAGTTCAAGAACCATCAAAGTTAAAATTATTATTTTCCTATTCACATCATTTACGAATAATATACTCCAACCCTCTTGGGGTCCATAATTTCTTGTATTTTATCTATTTACAAACTTTAAATAATATTTTCATAAATTAAAAGAAACGTAATACCAAATGTACTCCAGAGCCTAGAAATCATCCGTGTTTTATCAAAACGCCTCACATATGAAAACTTAACCACGTGATTCGAAAATCAGATATAGCTTAATGACGTAGGTTCATATAAGAAACAAGATGAAGCTACAGAAAGAGAAACTCAAAGAAGGGGATTAGAGATGATGTAAATAATAATAAGATCTTAAAATACTAAATATCTATAATTACGAGATTATGGTGATTAACCGTGTATTTTAAAGAACACTGTGAATTGATTTCTAACCCAAAGCGATTTACAATAACTATAAATTATGTTGATTACTTGTGGTATGCATATGCTCAACAAAAATATTTTAAATAATTTGAGAATTATTGATGCTAGATCTATTTCTCACACATTATCGTCTGACAATCGCTTTATAATGATATACATAGACCATATACAAATAAACAAAGCTGCAGCAATACGATCGGGTCTACGTCTCGGAGCTACTCGTCATTCTCGACAGCCAAGTGCCGTTTATGTTTTCCCGATTTATAGGTGTTTGAAGAAGCTTATAAAGAAATTTTATCCAAATCGGAGGGGATGAAGTCAAAGGGCACACCATTTGTAAAAAGATGTCATATACAACTGTGCAAGTGTTCTAGACTTAGTTATAGAGAAATATCTCCAAAACGTCAACTATATCTTAACAATTAATTTGGAAATATTGACTGGACTTTCTAAATATCCAAATAACTCTTATTTGAGCCAGCGTTACTATAAGTACAATAAATCAATGTATAGATTATCAACACCACTACTAAAAGTAACAGTAACACCTTATCAATTTATTTATATAAAATAATGAAAGTAAAATATACTTTAATTATTTCGTAATTAATTTTAAAAATTACAATTAATTATTAATAAATCGCGTAAAATATACAATACTTATATAATTTTAGGGTTACATGTCTGGAGGAGCTGGTTACGTATTAAGCAAAGAAGCTGTTAAACGTTTTGTCGAAAAAGCGTTACCAAATCCAAAGCTATGCAAATCATCACCATCCGGAGCTGAAGACGTTGAAATAGGAAAATGCCTGGAAAATGTTAAAGTAATCGCTGGTGATTCACGTGATGCACACGGACGTGGTAGATTCTTTCCTTTTGTTCCAGAACATCACTTAATACCAGCACATACAGATAAAAAATTCTGGTACTGGAACTATATTTATTATAAAACAGATGAGGTTCGTATTATTTTAAAATTATAAATTCATTTTTTATATTTACTTTTGTCGAAATTATGTATTTTTTTAGGGATTAGATTGTTGCTCTGATTATGCAGTATCATTTCATTACGTCTCACCAAATCAAATGTATGTATTGGATTATCTAATATATCACTTACATCCTTACGGTATAGTCAATATACCAGAATTACCGGAAAAACTAAAAGTTGGCGAAACTGAACCATCGCCAACCGATAATGAAGTAACATCTGAAAATGCTTAAGTTTGCAATAGGTACTATATAAAAATTGTTAGATTATTTGTAAATAGTTTAAAGTTAAGTTAACTTAAATAAATAATATTTTGTATTATAACGTATATTAAGTATATTAAGACATTTTTGACTAAGCTTTATACTTAAAATTAAAAACAATATGTAGGTATATTGCTTCACCGCATAAGATTTTCGAATCGCTGCCAAGGTGAAGGATTAAAAAGTACCACCCTCATCCCTTAAGAAATAACTCAGTAGCATTTGGTTAGACCAACTGTTTGCCGATTAACACTATGAAGGGGCGAATTTATAACATTCGGCCAAACCACACCATGGTTTTTAGACGAATGGCTTTAGCTAGTAAGATGTAGTGTATTATGTATATTAGTTAAATGTTGCTGTACTGTAAAAAAGAATTAGTTAGTATTTTATTTGCACCTATAACATAAAAGAATTTATTGTATTTTTTCATACATTTCATAGGATAAAATCATAGGAATAAAATCTTTTTGATATTGCTTGAGCTGATAACATAAAATTATTTTAATATTACTGTGAACATTTGCACAACTATAGACGAATAGATTTTCATTTTGCATATTTACCTCATTAATTTATTTTATATTAATTAATAATATTTAATAAAAATGAATAACTTTTGTGAATAATACCAAATTGAACTGTACTAAGTATAAATAAATACTATAAAAATAAGCTAATGCTATACATATTATATAAATTGCTGCATTCACACAACTAACTTAAGATGAATTAGATATTAAATAATTAAAATTGTGACCTAAATGTGAAAATATTTAAAAAATAAACTCTTCACTTCATATATTAAAAAGCTATCTTTTAATGCAATTTATTATTTAATACAACTATTATTTATATTAATATTTATATATGTATATCCAAAAGGTTTTTTATATATGATGTCATTTTTTTTTAATGTTTAGCAAAAAATCCTCAAAAGGAGAACTAAATAACTAAATTTTTGAATGTTAAAAAATCACATAATTAAAGATTGGATAAATTTCATTAATCCAAAAATTTTTTACGGAATGTACACTTATCAAGTACTGATGCTGTGCTTATATTAAATTCTTTAAAATTCCTACAAAAACATATAACCGTCATGAACAATTTCTATTAAATTCACAGCCATGGCTTACTTATAAGGAACTTGGACTAATTAGTTAAACTTTTATGTAGAAACTTTTCGAAAACTCACTCGGATCAAGTCCACGAATATATAAAATTGGATAACTAAATCATATAACTTAAATATGAAAAACGCATTTAACATTTTTAACTTAAAATAAATTTTTTTTTTATTTGAATATATCTAATACCAGGTGTACCGGTATGAAGTGAGCGTAAAGATACAAATGTTCCGACAGGGAACATTTGTTGTGAACGAGCCTTTATTTCTTATTGTTTGTTTGCTATGACATGTGTGAAATATATTTAGCATACATCAAGTCATTGAACAGACAACATCATATTTTTTCATCGTGTTAAAAATGTCGAATTTTGTACCAGAAAGTGATGATTTGCGGAAAGCATTAATTTTTTGTTTTCATTTGAAGAAAAGTGCTGCAGAGTCGCATCGAATGCTTGTCGAGGCATATGGTGATCATGCTTCATGGTTCAGAAATAATGATTTTGATGTGAGAAATGAAGAACGTGGAAGACCGCCAAAAAAGTTTGAAGACGCCGAATTCCAAACGATATTGGATGGAGATGACACTTTGGGTCAAAAGCAAATGACAGAAATGTTAAATGTTGCACAACAAACAATTTCTGACCGTTTAAAAGCTATGGAAAAGATCCAAAAGTGTGGAAAATGGGTGCCACATGAATTGATAAAAAAACAGATGGAAAACCGAAAAAACATTTGTGAAATTTTGCTTCAAAGACACGAAAGAAAATCGGTTTTGCATCGGATTGTTACTGGCGGTGAAAAATGGATTTATTTTAAGAATCCTAAACGAAAAAATTTTGGGTTAATCCGGCACAACCATCAACATCGACTGCAAAACCGGATCGATTCGGCAAGAAGAGAATGCTGTGTGTTTGGTGGGACCAGAAGGGTGTGGTGTATATATATGTATTATTTGTAATATATCTAATATATAATTTTTATTATATGCAATCTGACACAAAGTTAATAATAAGCAATATTTCGAAAATGTGCAATATTAATATTAGAAAAAGAAGAAATATATATGGACAACAGTATGCATCCAGATCCAATAACTTATATATACTTGTAATCGAAATGGTACTACATCTGCTATTGTATTCCATTTGAGGCCTTGAAACCATATGTTTGAAGTCAATATAATTTTTGCAAATTTATTTGTATGGTTGCGTATACGTTGTTTTCACGATTTTGAGTCCTTGATTTTTCTTTAGGTGTTGATATTTTGTAGTCTATATATAGCTTTGCGACAGTTATATCTCTACAATCATTTACAATCATTTTTAGTTTTTGGCACGCTAATTGATTAAATTTAAATTAATTTAAAATCTGCAATTATAAACTTTTACTTTGTTATGATAATACAGTTTCCAAACTTAATGGAGTAGTTAGTTGTAGGTGTATAGTTATATCCGTACTATTTTTGGTAAAGATTTGTAAGTTGATTAAGCTGATAATTTTTTTGTTTGTTTTTTAATACATGAGGAAATAATAAAAATAATTTTTTGCAAACGTTAATATGTTAAAATACGTTGCAAATAAAGATCTAGGTAGGAAGATGTGAAGTTCTTCACTGGAGAAAAAATTGTTGAGAAAATAAATTTAATATTTCAGTTGCTTAATAAGTGGAGACAATCTTAAAGTAATTGTTAAACTCATGGACAACACTTTTCTGAAATTTCGACTTCAAGTGAATGAGATCATTCATCTGCCCAGAATATGCAGACAGGTATAGCGCTGAACCGATTCTTGTAAGTAAAGGATGGACAGTACAAAATTGGATGGTATACTTCAGAAGAAGAAGAAGAACGTTGAAAATAACACCCACCCTTCTACACATAATATCAAATACATTATCAATACCAACGCTAGTAAATGCAGTAGTCTAGTATATACAAGAAAATATTTCAAGGGAATATTTTTTGTAGATTATATTGTCAAGTACGCGTATGATCAGAAGATATAAAAAGTCAGTAGCAAGACTTTTTGCTGTTAGACAACAGTTATGGACAATGAAAAAGTTTTATTTCATTTTTTTTTAAATTATATCTTTTTTATTATTATTTCTAATAATTATTATTACAGTATTTCTTATTTTAAGATATCTTCATCTTTTTATCTTGATATCTTCATCTTAAGATGAACAGTTCTTGTGTCTTTTGAAACTTGCAAGACTTTTCCTAGAGTTTATTTTGGAATATGCTTACCAATTAAGGTGTGTAGAGCTTGTTACAGCTCTTCGACTATTCCAATTATAGAAAAATAAACTAATAAATAAAGTATGCGTTGGCTTTACATTTTAACATACCGATACACATCTCAAAGTTGGTAGGGACAGGGGTATACCAGACACTTTCAGAAACTATGCTTGGACAATTAAACCTATATTGTTTAAATTTTTAAAAGATTTTCATGTAACTAATAATATTCAATTGTATGTGACGTTATGCACGATTTCTATATTGAGTCAGTTAGTACAATTTAGGTAGGGTATTATACTAGGTGGATTGATAAATAGCCGGCCCAAGTAATAAAAATACATTTTTTTGCAAAATTCTATATCAAGCTTCAATATAGTCCTCTTTGAGTTTGACACACCGACGAGGTATCCGACGATCTTTCAACATTTGGATGCATTTTAAATAAATAATACGTTTTATCAAGTTCTCCAAAATATGCCTCAGTTTTTCCCTGGAGCCATCTTTTCAAGTTCAGAAACAGGTAATAGTCACTAGAAGCCAAATCTTAAAAATACGGTGTATGAGGAAACAATTCGTACCGTAATTCATTTCATATTGTCATGGTTTTCGTTAACGTGTGAGTGGGTGATTGGGTGCGTTATTCTGCAAAAACAAAAATTTTTTCTTTGACACATGCGGTCACTTTTTTTTATTTCCTTATTTAATCGATCCAACAATATGCAATAGATATCACTACAAAGGAAAACAAAATTTATTTCATCAACTATAATTTTGTTAAAAATTTGATACTTTGTTGTTGATTTTTTTAAGTAGCTGTATCACTACTTAGAATGAGATGGATTTCTTTTTAAAAAGAGCCATAAAGTAATCTTTTTGCGTTTGTTCAATTTTTTGGAGTATTTTTGTCCCGTTTATAGGGTTTGGTAGTGAACCAGGTAAAGCATAATTTTTGTGAGTTATAAATTATTCCCACAAACTGTATAAAACACGCTACAGATAATATAATAAACAAATATATTTCGTGAGAAGGACTCGAATAGAAATGAAAAGACAACAACAAAAGTTTCATTTTAACAAAACTAATTGACTTGACGATGTCTGCCTGTCAATCTATTTAGATCGAAATTAATATTTCTTTTTTTGGATCAAACTAAACAATTTTTCTTACTGACTTTTTCTCTGACCCTATCACATATTCAATAGGAACAAGCTTGTGTCTTGTATTGAACATAATAATAAATTTCTACATGAATGTGAAAAAACATGTTTTAATACAGAAATATACATATACACAATTTGTAGCAAAATTATGCGAGTAATATCGACGTATAATTCGATATATATTCATCTCGGTATATATATATATATCGGTAAAGCGTTATTTTGAGCCTAAAAATTTCATATCTACCTCCCAAAGCACAATCTGTATTAGATGCAGGTCCAAGAACCCAGCTGCCTGAAGAAGATTCAACTACAAATCTATTAAACTAAGCTTATGTATGGGTTATTATTTTATAAGCGAAACGGGTTATAACGAAAAGATAAAATCTAAAATCCAGATAAGCTGCAATTTCTCTAAGCGCCTTTATTTAAAATATAAATACCCTAATCCCGGAAATTAGAGATACGAAGCCATGTTGTTTGTAGAGGTTATTTTTTACACCAATTTTGATATGACCACATCTCTGACATCTCTGTTATTATTGGAGATTTAAAATTGATTGTAAAGTAAACCTAATTAATTGAAATTTTTGTAAATTAAAATTAAAATCAATTAAAATTGTTTAAGTACTAATATGCTAAGGTGTGCGCCTAATCAATTTTTACAAATACAAATACACTATTCTGAAAGTTTGGATTTCTGATGAATATAATAATGATTCCAAGTTATAAGTAAAAAAAAAATGTGTGGTATATTTTATTTTATGGCAATGTTTTTAATTAAAATTTAATGATATATCCGAATCAGATATAAAAAAAACTAATAATAATAGAATATTTTTCAAAATTTAATTCACTAAATATTACTGAGTATACCGTAATGTGTTAAGTGCATACTTAATTATTTCTTAAAAATAGTATCATTCTGAAAATTTTAATTATTAAAAAAAATTTAAAAACAAATTTATATTAGAAATAAAAAATAAAAATTTCTGTGATGAAAATGAAACAAGTTTATTAAAATTAGAAAT